TGGCGTCAGCAGTTCCCTGGGGCTACTGAGATCCCTCGCTGGGATGAGCTTCTTAGGGCTGGTGTAGCGATCTTTGATCTGGATTATGATGCTATCCTTGCTGCTATGTATGCTGTGACTTATAGTGAGGAGAATGAGGGTTACCGGTGTTTCCAGCCCGACCCGGGCATTGGTACTGCTGCGCTAGGTGCTTGTGAGGCTGCTGCTCTAGGTGCCAGTGCGTCTGCGCTCTCAGGTACTGGTGAGACTGCGCTCTCAGGTACTGCGTCGTCCTCGTCCTCCCTCACTTTCACACTTGACTACGGGGCTTCTCGCTCCTTCTTTCGAGACCGCACTACCCTTACGCCGCTCGACCGGCCGGTTGCAGTCCCCCTTGCTGACCCCTCTGGGGGTCCTGTCCTGTCTCACTTCTCCACTGTCCTCCCGTGTCCGGCTGCCCCTTCGGGCACCCTGTCTGGTCTGTACCTTCCCTCGTTCTCTACGAACTTGGTGAGTGGCGCGGACCTGCAGGATGTGGGGGTTCACCAGTTCACTCCTGCGAGTCAGCGGGTGACCCACTGCACGGAGGCACGCACAGGCCGACACCTGGCCACGTTCTCGCGTCGGCCGGGGTCGAGTCTCTACACCCTAACCGTTGAGTCTCCTCCTGTCCCTGCGTCTGGTCAGGTGGCTGCGTCAGGTCAGGTGCTTGCTGCTGCGTCCCGGTCAGGTCCTGAGTCTGCCCCCTGTTCTTGTCGCCTCCTGTCTCACGAGACTCTCCTGTGGCACCACCGTCTTGGCCACCCCTCCTTGCCCCGTCTTCGGAGCATGGCTTCCCGTGTCCTTGTCTTTGGTCTTCCCCAGTCTCTCCCTCCTCTCCCCTCCGGACCAGGACCTTCCTGTGTCCCCTGTGTCGAGGGTCGCCTCCGGGCTACTCCTCACTCCTCCCACTTCCCCCCGACAGAGGCTCCTCTGCAGACGCTTCACATGGATGTGTGGGGCCCAGCCCCCGTCCGTGGGCAGGGTTACGAGCGCTACTTCCTTTTGGTGGTTGACGACTACTCGCGTTACACCACAGTCCTCCCCTTGCGGAGCAAGGGTGCGGTCACTGAGGTGCTGATCGACTGGATCCGCGAGGCTCGTCTCCAGCTCAGGAAGAGCTTCGGCTCTGACTTCCCTGTTCTGCGTCTGCACTCGGACAGAGGCGGAGAGTTCTCTTCTCGCCTTCTGCGAGACTACTGTCGTGCACGGGGGATCCGCCAGACCTTCACACTTCCGGACTCACCACAGCAAAATGGGATTGCTGAGCGCCGCATTGGCATGGTCATGGATGTCGCTCGTACGTCCATGATGCATGCGGCTGCCCCCCATTTTCTGTGGCCGTTTGCAATGAGGTACGCGGCGCATCAACTCAACCTTCACCCCCGGGTCTCTCGGCCTGCGATGTCCCCAGCCTTGCTGTGGACGGGGAAGGTTGGCGATGCATCTGTGTTCCGTGTCTGGGGATCTCGGGCGTTTGTCCGCGACTTGTCTGCGGACAAGCTGTCCCCTCGTGCCGCTCCCTGTGTCTTCCTTCGCTTCCCCACTGACGCCCCAGGGTGGCAGTTTTACCACCCCTCCTCTCGTCGTGTTCTGTCCTCCCAGGACGTCACGTTCGACGAGTCAGTCCCCTTCTACCGTCTCTTCCCCTACCGCACTCCTTCCCTCCCACCTCCCCCGGACTTCCTTGTGCCGGTTCCCCCACCGGTAGACCCCCTCCCCCCTCAGGTTCCTGCCCCCTCAGGTGTGTCCCAGGTAGACGCCGTTGACCCGGTCGAGGTTACTGGTGACTCTGGTGCTGCTGCGGGTGCTGAGCCTGGGGGTGCTGACTCTGGGGGTGCTGTGCGCGGGGGTGCTGAGCCTGAGGGTGCTACTGCTGGGGGTGCTGGGCCTGAGGGTGCTACTGCGGGGGGTGCGGAGCCTGGGGGTGCTGAGCCGGGGGGTGCTGTGCCTGGAGGTGCTGGGTCTGGGGGTGCTGGGTCGGGAGCTGCTGAGCCTGGGGGTGCTGAGCTGGGAGCTGCTGAGCCTGGGGGTGCTACGTCTGGAGCTGTTGAGCCTGGGGTTTCTCCTACTGCTGCGTCTCGCCGGGAGCCCCTCTCTCCACAGGAGCTGCGCGAGTGGTTCGCTCGCCGCTGGAGGCGTGCTGCTGAGTCTGGAGGTGCTGCTGGAGCTGGAGCTGGAGCTTCTTCGACCGTCGAGGGTGCGGGTGCTGCGGGTCCCGGTGCTGCTGGACCTGCGGGTCCTCCTGGAGCCGGAGCTGCTGAGGGCGTTGGTGCTGCGCCTACTGCTGTTGGTCCTGCCGCTGGAGGTGTGGGTGGCGCTGGTGCTGTCGCTGAGGGTGCTGGTGCCGTCCCTGCTGAGTCTGGAGCTGCCGCGCGGCCTCGGCCGTACTTCGTTCCGCTCCTGCAGCAGGTTCTTGGTCTTTCTCCTCCGGTAGAGGGTCCACCGCCTGTCCAGTCGCAGTCCCTACTGGAGCCTTCCTCTCCACTGCCTGCTCCCTCTCCTTACACTGGTCCTACTGGAGGTCTTGCTGAGCGCCGTGAGCCTGCGTCTCGTCCTGCGTTGCCTGTTCGTGCTGCTCGCGCTAGTGGTCGCAGTTCGCGTCAGCGTCCTCCTCCTGTCCCTGGCACGCACCGGATGTCTCTGCGTCCGTCCACTGCTCCTCTACGTGCCCCTTTGCCTTCTCCTCCTGAGTCCTCTCTTCTTGCGCTTGCCGACCCTGAGTCGGACTCTCTTCGTGCTGCCAGTCCTACTGTCACGCGTCTGCTTGCTACTGTCGTCATTGACCCCTCTTTTGAGTCCACTGCTGCGTCTGCTCTAGTCGCTGAGCTCGTCGACTTTGCTGCTCGCTGTCGTCTCGACTACGCTGCTAGTCTTGTTGCTGAGTCTGCGTCTGTCTGTCCTCCGTACGTCGGGGGTGAGTGTGCTCTTGGCACGGACGTCCTTGAGGACAGGCAGGAGGAGTTACAGTATCTAGCGGCTGCTTCACCTCATCTCGCGTCTGTACTGCTTGCCCCTGAGGGAGACCCGGATGCACTAGACATCCCGACTCCGCGTTCTTACGCGGAGGCCGTAGAGGGTCCCTACTCCTCTCAGTGGCAGGCAGCTATGGATGCAGAGATGGCTTCCTGGAAGTCCACAGGCACCTACGTTGACGCGGTTCCCCCTCCCGGGGCGAACATCGTCAGTGGCATGTGGATCTTCAGGGTGAGGCGGCCGCCGGGCTCTCCACCTGTCTTCAAGGCACGGTACGTCGCTCGTGGCTTCAGTCAGCGGCAGGGAGTTGACTACTTTCAGACCTTCTCTCCCACCCCGAAGATGACTACTCTTCGGGTGCTGCTGCACATAGCCGCTCAGCGCGACTACGAGCTTCACTCTCTCGACTTCAGCACAGCTTTCTTGCAAGGTAGCCTGCACGAGGAGATCTGGCTTCGCCGTCCACCTGGCTTCACTGGGACTTTCCCTCCTGGCACCCAGTGGAGCCTCCGACGGCCAGTCTGCGGTCTCCGCCAGGCACCGCGTGAGTGGCACGACACACTGAGGACTACGCTTGCGGCCCTTGGGTTTGCTCCTTCTACTGCTGACCCGTCGCTGTTTCTTCGCACCGACACTTCCCTGCCGCCGTTCTACATCCTCGTGTACGACGACGACTTGGTCTTTGCCACAGCGGACACTACTGGACTCGCCTACGTGAAGTCCGAGCTACTGAAGAGACACACGTGCACAGACCTGGGTGAACTGCGCAGCTACCTTGGCTTGCAGATCACTCGGGACAGAGCACGCCGCACCATTACCTTGACTTAGACACACATGGTGCAGCAGGTCCTTCAGCGCTTCGGCTTCACGTACTCCTCGCCTCAGGCCACTCCTCTGCCTACTCGCCACTCACTCTCAGCTCTGCCTTCGGATGAGTCCGTAGAGTCGAGTGGTCCGTATGCAGAGCTTGTTGGCTGCCTCATGTACCTGATGACATGCACACGACCTGACCTTGCATACCCTCTGAGCATTCTTGCACGCTATGTTGCTCCTGGGAGACACAGACCAGAGCACATGGCTGCAGCGAAGAGGGTATTGCGCTACCTGTGCAGTACGTCAGGCATGGGGCTAGTGCTTGGAGGGCGGAGTCCAGTGGTCCTTACCGGCCACGCGGACGCTTCTTGGGCTGACGACCAGGCTACGCAGCGGTCGTCACAGGGTTACACCTTCAGCCTTGGTTCCGGCTCTGTCTCGTGGCGGTCTACTCGCTCGTCTTCGGTTCTCGGCTCCAGTTGTGAGGCTGAGATCTACGCCGGGGCCATGGCTGCACAAGAGCTTCGCTGGCTCACCTACCTGCTGACTGACCTTGGAGAGCCGCCTCGTTCTCCTCCAGTGCTGTATGTAGACAACAAGGCCATGCTGGCCTTGTGTCGAGAGCAGCGCTTGGAGCACAGAACGAAACACATTGCTCTCTGCTACTTCCTTGCTCGTGAGCTGCAGCAGCGTGGTCAGTTGCGACTTGCGTACGTGGCCTCTCAGGCCAATACTGCTGATGTGTTCACCAAGGCACTCGCGCCTTGTGACCATCAGCGCTTTTGCACCCAGCTGGGTCTTGTGCCTGTCTTGCCTCACTTGCTCTCCTCTTGACTTCACTTGTACTGTGACATATATATATACCTGCTCTTGCTTGTCTAGTTTTATATATATGTCTGTACTCCTGCATGTGAACTGGCCTCTGGCCCTGCTCTTGTGCTCGGACTGTGTGGTGACTTTGTGATCCACCCTGAGCTTGCTTTGCTTTGCTTTGCTTGACTGGTCTTGTGACCCCTTGTTCTCCCCCACTTTGCCTATGGGGGTGTGTCAGATTATTATAACTGATGCATGTTTGTAGGCTATAGTGGGGTAGCACATATGGGGTACAGCTTTCTAGGGTTGCATTTTGTACCCAACTCTGACTTAGTCATTCCCATTCCTGTTCATTCTTTTCACACGAGGTGCGGTTCAGCATGAGCCAACTTGCATACCGACGTGGGTTACGGGAGGATGTGTCCGCTCTTGCTGAAGGACAGCTGATCGGCGAGCTCACGACAGCTGGGCACGAGATCCCTCGTGGCAATGAGATAACGAAACCACCTAAGGCTGAGGTGATTGGTGATGAGGTGGAGGATAGGGAGTGGAGAACGGAGATGGCAGCACGGATGCATAGGCTGGTCGATTGCAATGAGAGTCAGGTAGTGGCTGTTGCCAAGCTCGAGAGGCAATTGCGTGAGCTGATGCTTTCCCGTACTCCGCAGCATGGCGTTGACGGTGATGCTGCAGGGGAGGGACATGGTGATGTGGGAGGGGACGGTGGACCTGGTGAACCCGCACATGTGGAAGTCATGGGTGGGAACAATGGCGGCACCCATTATAGCGTGACGGGTGCATATGGTGAGGGCCCTGTGGCAAACGTTGAGACAGGTGAAGGTGGGTAGGTCGGTATGCGTGACCACGCTGGGGAGGGTGATATGGGTGACGGTGCGACGAGTGACAATGAGAAGGTGGGGGTGCGTGATGAAGGTGTTGGAGGCTTGTTGGGTACTACGGATGGTAACAGAGGTGCTAGAGAGGCAGTGGGTACTAGGCATGGTGTGACAGCCTTGAACGTGGATGTGGATTCGGGGTCTGCATACAGCACAGGGACTGAGACGACGAGTCGCAACACTGCGCGTGGTCGAGCTCCTAGCTCAGGTTTTTTGCGCTAGGACGGTACACTGAGATCTTGGATGCCGCAAAAGCATATGCGGCAGCCGCCCACAACTGCCGGACGTCCCTCTCCAGCTCTAAGATGGTGGAGTTGAGCGTGGAGGAGAGGAGGTGGTTGGAGGGTCTGGCGTTGCAATGGGTTTAGAGGATTGTGGATGCCAAGCGGTGGGCAGAGGAGAAAATGGCGTGAAGTGCTCAGCAGCCTCCCTGAGCCTTCCACCCCAGCACCAGCAGGAGTTCACACACAAGCTCCACCTCCCTTTTCCCACCAACACCCTGGAGCCACGTTTGGAATTACCACCCGCCAGCTGCCGCCTTCGCGGGACACGCCGGTGCAACCATAGTACCTGGTGGATGGCAGCCGTGCACCCAGCAACAGGTGAGATGTGTGGTTGTGTCACAGTAGTGCTTATCCATAGCCTGTGATTTTCTTAACCATGCACTAAAGTTTTGAACTTGTTTGCTGAACGTGTGCAGGGGCAGCGGACGACATTATTGATGCGACACAAAAAATGATGTGGCTTATGGTCAACATGGAATTGCGTAATCCGTAAACATAAAATAGTCGTTGTTAAACTATTATAAACATGCGAAGAGCGTGACATGCCTAGAGATACAAAGGCTTAGCCCTTTGCCTCTGATTGGTGTTGTACAGATATAACGTTAAAACATAATTGAGGAAAGTAGCTACGGGAGAATATATTTACGGAATTCATAAAAAGGTATAATATGCTCCCAACAGCACACACACTTGATCATCATATATGCGCGCTCATATAGGTTATTGCGCTGTCTTATATATTGGAATTTTATTATTGCGACTTTATATAACCGTATATGCTGGACGCACAATGTCAAAAAATGCTCCGCGCATAAAACGGACCCATCACGCGCAGTCATTCAAAGTCGTGCGCGTTGACGGCCGTGGATTTCAGTATATGATCGGGAAATCATATGGCTGTGCTCGGATTGGTAATTCTTTGGACCGGAATTGAGCACGATATGACTGTTCGCATGGATGACCAAGGTATTGTCATGTATATGAACAGTGACGTGGCCGCGCTCGTGCACGTTAGCCTGGTGAGATTTTCGGGCGGAGAATAATAACCCACATTTCCGCGAAAAAGGACACGTTCGTTTCGGGAATTTCGGGGCTAAATTCCTTGTAGGGTGATGTGACAGACAAAAAAAAAAGGGTGCGGAAAACCTCTGGCAAGGCCACTCGAGCAGTTATCAATGAATTGTAGAACCATGCGAGCAAATGGTGGTCACGTATGCAACAACGAATCACCAAACAAGGGTCTAGAGCAATTCAATTGACTGGGGCATATTAGTGTGGAAACAAAGAACGAGGATGAATGACTATGAAGTGAAGTGAATACAAATAGGAAACCCTAATGTGTTGTACCCCCTATGAGATACCCCACTATAGCCTACACAAACAAGTAAGCTATATGTTCTGACACACCCCCATAGGCAAAGTGGGGGAGAACAAGGGGTCACAAGACCAGTCAAGCAAAGCAAAGCAAAGGTCAGGGTGGATCACAAAGTCACCACGCATTCCGAGCACAAGTTCAAAGGCCACAAGGCCAGTTCACATGCAAGATCATATATAGAGATATACAAGAGCAAGAGTATATATATGCGAAGGTACAAGCAAGGTCAAGAGGAGAGCAAGTGAGGCAAGACAGGCACAAGATCCAACTGCGTGCAGCAACGCTGATGATCACAAGGCGCAAGTGCCTTGGTGAAGACATCAGCAGTGTTGGCCTCAGAGGCCACGTACGCAAGTCGCAGCTGTCCACGCTGCTGTAGCTCACGAGCAAGAAAGTAGCGAAGAGCAATGTGCTTCGTTCTGTGCTCCAGTCGCTGCTCTCGACACAAGGCCAGCATGGCCTTGTTGTCTACGTACAGGACTGGAGGAGAACGAGGCTGCTCTCCAAGGTCGGTCAGCAGGTAGGTGAGCCAGCGTAACTCCTGTGCAGCCATAGCCCCAGCGTAGATCTCAGCCTCACAACTGGAGCCGAGAACAAAAGACAAGCGGGTAGCCCGCCAGGAGACAGAGCCGGAACCAAGGCTGAAGGTGTAACCCTGTGCGACCGCTGCGTAGCCTGGTCGTCAGCCCAAGAAGCGTCTGCGTGCCCAGTGAGGACCACTGGACTGCGCCCTCCAAGCACTAGCCCCATGCCCGACGTACTGCACAAGTAGCGCAACACCCTCTTCGCTGCAGCCATGTGCTCTGATCGGTGTCTCCCAGGAGCAACAAAGCGTGCAAGAATGCTAAGAGGGTATGCGAGGTCAGGTCGTGTGCAGGTCATCAGGTACATGAGGCAGCCAACAAGCCCTGCAAACGGGCCACTCGACTCTACGGACTCATCCGAAGGCAGAGCTGAGAGCGAGTGGCGAGTAGGCAGAGGAGTGGCCTGAGGCGAGGAGTACGTGAAGCCGAAGCGCTGAAGGACCTGCTGCACCATGTGTGACTGAGTCAGGGTAATGGTGCGGCGTGCTCTGTCCCGGGTGATCTGCAAGCCAAGGTAGTTGCGCAGTTCACCCAGGTCAGTGCACGTGTGTCTCTTCTGCAGCTCGGACTTCACGTAGGCGAGTCCAGCAGTGTCAGCTGTGGCAAAGACCAAGTCGTCGACGTACACGAGGATGTAGAACGGCGGCAGAGAGGTGTCGGTGCGCAGAAACAGCGACGGGTCGGCAGTGGAAGGAGCAAACCCAAGTGCCGCGAGCGTAGTCCTCAGTGTGTCGTGCCACTCACGTGGCGCCTGGCGGAGACCGTAGACTGGACGCCGGAGACTCCACTGGGTACCAGGAGGGAAAGACCCAGTGAAGCCAGGTGGGCGACGCAGCCAGATCTCCTCGTGCAGGCTGCCCTGCAAGAAAGCTGTGCTGAAGTCGAGAGAGTGGAGCTCGTAGTCACGGTGAGCAGCAACGTGCAGCAGAACCCGAAGAGTGGTCATCTTCGGGGTGGGGGAGAAGGTCTGAAAGTAGTCAACCCCCTGCCGCTGACTGAAGCCACGAGCCACGTAACGCGCCTTGAAGACAGGCGGAGAACCCGGCGGCCGCTTCACCCTGAAAATCCACATGCCACTGACGATGTTCGCCCCAGGAGGGGGAACAGCGTCGACGTAGGTGCCTGTGGACTTCCAAGAAGCCATCTCTGCATCCATAGCTGCCTGCCACTGAGAGGAGTAGGGACCCTCTATCGCCTCCGCGTAAGAGCGCGGAGTCGGGATGTCTGGTGCATCCGGGTCTCCCTCAGGGGCTAGCAGTACAGACGCGAGATAAGGTGAAGCGGCGGCCAGACACTGGAACTCCTCCTGCCTGTCCTCAAGGACGTCCGTGCCAAGGGCACACTCACCCCCGACGGACGGAGGACAGGCAGACTCAGACTCAGCGAGAAGACGGGCAGCGTAGTCTAGACGACAGCGCGCAGCAAAGTCGACAAGCTCAGTGACAAGGGCAGACGCAGCAGACGACTCGAAGGAGGGGTCAGTGACAGCAGTAGCCAGGAGACGCGTGACAGTAGGACTGGCAGCACGAAGAGAGTCCGACTCCGGGTCGGCAAGAGCAGGAAGAGAGGAAGCAGGAGGAGAAGGCAAAGGGGCACGCAGAGGAGCAGTGGACGGACGCAGTGACATCCGGTGTGTGCCAGGGACAGGAGGAGGACGCTGACGCGACCCGCGACCACTAGCGCGCTCAGTACGAACAGGCGACACAGGACAAGACGCAGGCTCACGACGCTCAGTAAGACCTCCAGTCGGACCAGCGTAGGGAGAAGGAGCAGGCAAAGGGGAGGCAGGCTGTAGCTGTGGCTGTGACCGGACAGGCTGCGGACCCTTTAAGGGAGGAGGAGGAGGTGTAAGACCAAGAACCTGCTGCAGGAGCGGAACGAAGTACTATCGGGGCCGCGCGGCGACGCTAGAAACAGCAGGAACAGCACCAGCAGCCCCGGCAGGTGCACCCACTCCAGCAGCACCTCCAGCAGCACCACCAGAAGCTCCAGAACCTCCAGCCGCAGCACCAGGAGCACTGTCAGTCGGACCGCCAACGGCAGGCTCAGCACCAACACCCTCAGCAGGACCAGCTCCAGGAGAACTCTCAGACTCAGCAGCTCCAGCACCCACAGTACGAGCACCGGCGGGGCGCGCAGCAGCAGTACCCTCTGCAGCCGAAGAACCACCAGCACCAGCAGCACGCCTCTAGCGCCTGGCAAACCACTCACGCAGCTCCTGTGGGGAGAGTGGCTCCAGGCGAGACGAAGCACCCCCAGGCACAGCACCTCCAGGCTCAGCACCCCTAGACACAGCACCCCCAAGCACAGCACCCCTAGGCTCAGCACCCCCAGGCTCAGCACCCCCAGGCTCAGCACCTCCAGGCTCAGCACCCCCAGGCACAGCACCCCCAGACTCGGCACCTCCAGGCTCAGCACCCACAGGCTCAGCACCCCCAGACTCGGCACCTCCAGGCTCAGCACCCCCAGACTCCGCACCCCCAGGCTCGGCTCCCGCACCAGCACCAGAGTCACCAGTGACCTCGACAGGCTCAACCGCGTCTACCTGGGACACACCTGAAGGGGCAGGACCCTGAGGGGGGAGGGGGACTACCGGGGGGGGACCTGGTACCAAGAAGAGCGGGGGCGGGGGGAGGGACGGAGTGCGGTAGGGGAAGAGGCGGTAGTAGGGTACCGACTCGTCGAACGTGACGTCCTGGGAGGACAGAACACGTCGAGAGGAGGGGTGGTAAAACTGCCACCCAGGATCGTCGGGGGGGAACCCCAGGAAGACGCAGGGAGAAGCACGAGGGGACAGCTTGTCCGCAGACAGGTCGCGAACAAACGCCCGAGATCCCCAGACCCGGAACGCCGACGCATCGCCAACCTTCCCCGTCCACAGCAGGGCTGGGGAGGTCTCCGGTCGAGAGACCCTGGGGTGGAGGTTGATCTGGTGCGCAGCGTAACTGACCGCAAACGGCCACAGAAAATGGGGAGCAGCCGCATGCATCATGGACGTACGAGCGACGTCCATGACCATGCCAATGCCAAGTCAGAGCCAAAGCTCCTCCGAAGCTGGAGACGAGCTGCGCGGATCCAGTCGATCAACACCTCAGTGACCTCACCCTTGCTGCGCAAGGGGAAGA